GGAGACGATACTTTACCTACTATTATATTACTTTTTCGATCGGTATACTTGCCGATGAGCATCAGTTATGCAGTGCACTGATCCGCAGAAGCTGATGTTTGCCACCTACATGCTGGAGGGCGATGCTAATGAGTGGTGGACGAACACCTGTCACGTCTATGAGATGCACGGTCATGTGATTACATGGCCATTCTTTGAGGACCTGTTTCTTGGGAAATACTTCCCATATGATGCAAGGCTCGATGACGGTTGACGAGTATTTGGCTAATTTCAATGAACTGGTCAAGTTTGCACATTTTCGTATTGCTATGTCGACCTCGACATTCTTGGCTTCTAAGTTCCAAAAGGGACTTAATGAGGAGATAGCTGATCGCATTGCTGGTGCTGCATCTAGAGATTTTGGCACTTTGGTTCAGCAGTGTCGTGACATCGAGGATGTCTGTATTGTGAGCAAGGCCAAGAGGGCCAAAGTTGCTGAGGTTAAGGGAACTTGTAGTTCCACTTCCTGGAAGGACAAGAAGTTTGCTGGAAAAGGTAAAGGGAACCAGTCGGCTAATAGGCAGGCGCCTAGCCAGTTCAAGAGGACTTCTACTCAGGGGCGTTCAGCTAGACCTCCTACTCCTAGGTGTATAGGATGTGGGAAATCTCATGTGGGGCCATGTGCTACCAGCCTGTTGATCTGTTTCCATTGTGGCAAGGAAGGCCACTACTCCAGAGATTGTCCGTCGTCGACCGCGAGAGCTGCAGCAGTTTGGGCAGTTCCTTTGCAGATGATACCTACGACACCTACAGCGGCACCTATGGTGCCACCTGCCACCAGTCGTGTTTACACATTGGATAGGCAGCAGTCGGACAGAGCTCCGAACCTTGTGCGAGGTACTGTTTCCATTGGTGGTTCTACTGTTGATGTGTTATTTGATTCTGGGGCTACGCATTCTTTTATTGCAACCCTAATTGCTGTGGGCTGGAGTTTCCCAGTTCTGTTCTTTCTCCACCATTGCGGGTGACTACCGTCACCAGAGAAAAGCGTGATATCTCCACTGTACATCGAGATGTCGTGTTTCAGTGGGATGGCCGTGAGTTTTGGTGGATCTGATAGGATTGCCGATGGCTAATTTGGAGATCATCCTTGGCGTGGATTGGTTGTCCAAGAATTGTGTGATGATTGATTGCTGTGCAAAGCGAGTGGTGATGTCTCCATTTGATTCTACAGCCAGTTTCTCGCCTTACATTTCAGTGCTGCAGGCTAGGATAGCCTTGAGAGCAGGGGCATTTGGATATGTCATGTTGGGAGGTTTAGTGTGTGGGACACAGGAGGATATCACTAGCATTCCTGTGGTAGGGGAATTCCTGGAGGTGTTTCCTGAGGAGATTCCTGAGTTTCCGCCACAGAGGGAGGTAGAGTTCTCCATTGATTTGTTTCCTGGTGTGGGGCCTTTTTCACTAGCTCCATATCGGATGTCTCCACTAGAGTTGGCAGAGCTGAAGAAGCATATTGAAGATCTTTCGGCAAAAGACTTCATTCGACCGAGCGTGTCTTCATGGGGAGCACCAGTCATTTTTGGGAAAAAGAAAGATGGGACTATGTGGTTGTGCACTGACTACACACAGTTGAACAAGGTGACAATCAAGAACAAGTATCGCCTTCCTCGTATTGATGATTTGTTGGATCAACTCAGGGGTGCTTGCGTGTACTCGAAGATTGATCTCCGGTCCAAATACCATCAGATTCGGGTGAAGCCGGAGGATATTCCCAAGACCACATTTCATTCAAGATACGGTCACCATGAGTATTTGGTGATTCTGTTTGGACTCACCAATGCACCCGCAATGTTCATGGATTACATGAACCAGATTTTCCAGCCGTATTTGGACCATTTTGTGATCATCTTCATTGACTATATCTTGATTTACTCCAAGACCGAGGAGGAGCATGCTGAGAACTTGAGGATTGTGTTGCAAGTGCTGAAGGAGAAAAAGCTTTATGCTAAGCCTTCAAAGTGTGAGTTTTGGCTCAAGTCAGTGAAGTTTCTTGGGCATGTGATTTCTGCTGAGGGAGTTGCAGTGGATCCCAAAAAGGTTGAGGCCGTGTTGGATTTGGAGAGGCCCAAGACGATTACAGAAGTGAGGAGCTTCTTGGGTTTGGATGGAGACTACAAGAGGTTCATTGAGGGATTCTCCGAGATTGTTCTACCATTGACTCACCTTACCCAAAAAGAGACTCCGTTTGTGTGGACTCACGAGTGTGAGGAATGCTTTCAGGAGTTGAAGGAGAGACTGACCACCGCACCTGTGTTGGTCCTTCCTGATCCTGCTGAGCAGATTGAGTTGTATTGTGACGCCTTTGGGAAGGGGCTGGGCTATGTGCTGATGCAGTTGGGCAGAGTGATTGCTTATGCTTCGAGGCAGTTGAAGCTTCATGAGGAGAATTACCCGACTCACGATTTGGAGTTGGTGCGATTGTTTTTGTTTTCAAGATTTGGGGGCATTATCTGTTTGCCATGAAGTTTGCAGTGTTTAGTGACCATAAGAACTTAAAGTATTTGTTTGATCAAAAGGAGCTGAACATGAGACAGAGGAGATAGATGGAATTTCTGAAGGACTACGACTTTGAGTTAAAGTACCATCCTGGCAAGGCCAATGTGGTAGCTGATGCTTTGAGTCAAAAATCTGTGAGTCTATCTAGTTTGATGATAGGTGACTTTGATGTCATAGAGAAGTTTCGAGATTGAAACTGTGAGAGTCGAAAATGAGTTGATCGAAAAGATTAAAGAGGCGAAAGTGCAACGAGAGTGCCTTGATTATGTGAAGAACCAAGATGGTGTGTCTTGAAATGAAGATGTTTGTTGACATTCCAAATGAGGATTGTGATTCCTCAAGGTCCTTTGACTGAGGAGGTGATGACAGAGGCTCATAAAGGCCAGTTTACTATCCACCTTGGTGCTACAAAGATGTACCAGGACTTAAAGAGGAATTTCTGGTGGCCGAGCATGAAGAAAGATATAGCTGTGTACGTGTCCAAATGTTTGATATGCCAGAAGGTGAAGATTGAACACCAGAAGCCGTCTGGTAAGCTTCAACCTCTTGAGATACCGCAGTGGAAATGGGAGAGCATTTCCATGGACTTCGTGGTGGGTTTGCCTAAGACTCAGGTTGGTTGTGACTCTATCTGGGTCATTGTGGACAGATTGACGAAGTATGTCCATTTTCTTCCAGTAAAGGTGAGCTTCACTACAGAACAGTTGTCCAAGCTATATGTTCGCGAGATTGTGAGGCTTCACGGGGTGCCCGAGAGCATCATCAGTGATAGGGACCCGAAGTTCACATCTGAGTTCTGGGAGGCGCTGCAGGGAGCTTTTGGTACTCAGTTTAGATTGAGTACAACCTATCACCCTCAGACTGACGAACAGACTGAGCAGACCATCCAGATATTGGAGGACATGTTGAGGCCTTGCACGTTGGAGCAGGGTTTAGTATGAGATAGGTACCTGTCATTGGTGGAGTTTTCGTACAACAACGATTTTCATGCTAGCCTGGGCATGGCACCCTACAAGGCGATGTATGGTAGGAGGTGTCAAAATCCTATCTGTTGGTCGGAGGTTGGAGACAAGGAGTTATTTGGCTTGGACTTCGTCCAAGAGACTACCCAGCAGATCCAGATGATCAGAGAGAAGTTGAAGCAGGCGCAGAATCACCAGAAGAGTTATTATGATGTCAAGCATCGACCTCTATAGTTCAGTGAGGGTGAGCATGTGTTTGTGAGACTTTCACCTGTCACCGGTGTTGGTCGGGCCCTCAGAGTGAGGAAGCTCAGTCGGAGATTCATAGGGCCATACCCAGATTCTTGTTAAGGTAGGGCCTGTTGCCTATCGGCTTGCCTTGCCTCCGAACTTGGCCAACATCCACGATGTGTTTCACGTGTCTCAACTTCAGAAGTATATTGCGGATCCATCGCATGTGGTGCAACCGGATGATGTGGAGGTTCGGGAGAACCTAAAGACTCTCGTCGGACCACTCAAGATTCTTGATCGAGGCAAAAAGAAGCTGAGGAGAAAGATCATTCTGATGGTCAAGGTACAATGGACATGAAGAACTCCTGAGGATTGTACTTGGGAGCGAGAGGACGAGCTTCTCTGGCAATACCCCGAGTTTCGGGACATGTATGTTTCTGATTTTGCGGACAAAATCCTAAAAAGTGAGATGAATATAAGAACCCGCACCGTTAATTTAAGAATGTAAATTAATTAAATGTGAATTTAGGAAATAATTTCATAATTGACCCTAATAATTATGAGTAGTCTTAAATAATTATAGTAAGTGATTGTTAATGTTGAAAGTCGCTTTTCTGACGAAAAGTGCAGATACTGGATCTGCCTCACGGTATAAATGCGTACCGATGAAGTATCCCGAAAAATTACGATAAGTATGTGTACATATTACTAGAATAATATATAGGGCTAGTATAACAAGTTTGGAGTCAAAATAATGAGAACTGGCATCAGAACTGATACCGGCTACGTTAAAGCGCGTACCAGCAATGTGCTGTGAAAAATAAAATAAAAATATGAAAAATCGTAGCAAAATGGCTAGGTTCAGAATCCAAAGTTTGGGATTAAAATAATAAGTGTGGCTATTAGTGTTAATACAATGTGCTTAAACTTAAACTAGCTATAAATACACATTTTGGCCTAAAACCCTAGGCCAAACTCAGATCCTACGTGAGACCTTGGTGGCTGACCAGCCCTTGCACTGTTCCATTGCCTTCCTCCCTTCCTCTTGTGAGCCAAGTAGCCACTTTCTTCCAAGTTTCCTCCTTTAATCTCCATGGGAAGCCAAGAGCAAGCCTTGTGTGCATGTGGTCTCACTTCATCCTGAGTCTCAGCCACTGTTTGGGTAGGGAGAGAGCTGACTTCTTGACTAAGTGAAGAGGGAACCATTTCCTTGGTTGTGGGAGCTCCAAGTGGTGAGCTTTGTGAAGAAAGGGTCAACCTTGTTGCCATTTACGTGGACCTTTGTAGTCTGAACATTGGGGCTGAGTGGTGAGCTCCAAGAGCACCATTGTCTCTGTTCCAAGCCTTGGTGGTAAGCACCATCACCTTTGCCTTTGGTTTCTATAGAAAGAATGAACCTTGATGCATGTAATGAGAAAAAGATAAGAACTTAAGGGTGGGTAAGGTTAGACACACCTAGAAATGCATGTTTAAGCTTCTGGAATCGTTAAAAGAACAATCTTTGGGTGATATCTTCGTGAAAATGCAGAACTTCATTCTATCGCGAAATATCTGGATATGATATCCGGATATGAGGTTTTGGATATCTGGATATGGTTATCTGGATATGCCCCCGACAAATATCTGAATATTCTGGGAATTTTGAGACAGCGACTGTTCTGTTCATACAGAGCTGTATTTGGTGTTTGTAGACCCTAGATTGGTTGAGTGGAATCTCTATACTAACTAACTAAGTTAGTAGGGATAAAGGGCTTACTTTGTGAGAGGCCTAAAGACATGAAATGATAAAGAGAACGTTGTCATTATGTCATGAACTCTTAGATTATATATATTGATATGATTGCTGGTCTAAAACATATTGTGATTCTGCTGTTTGGGGACCTTGAGCTAGTGTGGACTTGGCTTGGATAGATTGCTTAAGAGGTAAGCTTTCGTGTCCTCGGTTTTGCCATTGTTGGTTCCACCATACCTCATGGAGGGAAGGTTCATATGCATGATGTGTTTTCGTGTATTGATATTTGAAATGCTAATGAGCTGTTAAGTGCAAATGCCTTATGATATGTATGTGTTGTTCCACCTAGACGGTAAGCCTGAGTATGTGGCGTCATACAATATGGTGATTCTGTGGGTGGGTGCAAGTGGCGTCTTGCACTGATTGTAGGTTATAGACGTATGTAAATCCTGCATTTTCTCTGGCCAGTAGGATATTGACACACATGACATGATTATATGCTGCATTGCACTGATTTTGGAACTTATATTATATTACTGTTTTTGAACTTATATTGCACATGTAAGTGAGCTTGGGGTGGAGAGATCCTTGAGGACCCCTTGTCTTACTGAGATTTCTTTTTAGAGATCTTACCCCACGTTTGGGGCACATTTTCAGGTTCAGGTACCTCGGGGGCTAATACCTCATGCGGCAGGAGGCCAGAGCTTAGTTGACTGCTTATGCATGTTTATGCTGATCTGCTTGGATGCCGATTTATGTTTTACTGTGTTTATATTGTTATATGATTTGAGACACTGTTGGGCTTTGTTGCCTTATTTGGTGAGCATGGGGGTTGTCCACGCCACATTGATGTTAGTTATGATTGTAGCTGTGAGTTGTATAAACTATCAGGATTTGTCCGGTCTACGTGTTGTAGTTCCGAGACTAGAGACACGGTTTTTTTATTTAATGAGGTATTTCAGTTAGTTTCTTTAATTACAATTTACAAAGAGGCAATGTTTTGAAAAAGGATTAATTAATCAACTTGGTTAATAATAATGACGTCATAATTGGAAAGAAAAAGTTAGTTCCGCATTTTAATTAAGTAGCGCTTAATACGATGATATGATAACAAACAGAGTATACACAGGGTGTTACAATTTGAGCCTTCTAGTACTTCTTAACACTTGAAAAGCTTTGACTTCTAGCTTGATTTTGCATGTTTGGGTATCCTTATCAATTTTTCACTTTGCTTTTGTCTTCTAGTACAATTTAGGACTTGTTTACCTTCCATTGAGAGCATCCATGTTGAGCTATATATGGTTATGCCTGAAGTGAACCTAGGGGTGGAAGAGTCCTTCAAGGACCCCTAGTTTACTGGGATGATTATCTCACCCCGCATTATGGGGATTACATTTCAAGTGCAGATACTGATATTATCGGAGAATTATATGGCAGGAGTCCAGGATGGAGTCTATTTGCATGGCTTGAGACTATTGATGCTTGTTGATGTGTGTGTCTGTGTGTCTTGCACATGATGATATGTATTTTGTGATAGAGCATAGAAAGAGTCTATGGATATAATGGTATAAACTCTTGTATATTTGTTAGAATAACATGTATAGGGTTCATATGTTGTAAATATTTGAATGTTGTAACGCCTAGCAACTTGCAAGGATCAACGACTATCTCCACACACTAATACGAGACTTTTCAGCGTACTTTGTCCTCACTCGCACACTTCCCGAGAAGACTTCACAGGAGGTCACCTATCTCAGAATTGCCCTAAGTCTAGCACGCTTAACTATGGAGTTCTTCCATTCCGGGCTTCTTGAATATATCAAGTGGATTATTCACACTCAGCTTCTTACTTTTCATTTTCTTGTTTTTCCAAGAATTTGAGCCAGTTGCTCTACTTGCACTAGATGCTTGTGCCTTTGAAGGCTTCTTGGTCTTAGTCACACTATAAACTTCTTCTACTTTCCGGCATTGGTTCACAAACTTACTAAACTCACGGATATCGCAATTAGACATTTTCCGAGACATTTTCTCATTTAGACCCAATTGAAACTTGGAGGTCATCTCGGCTGAAGTAGGTAGGGCTCTCCCGTAGTGAGCATACTTCACCAATTCATTGAACTTGGCAAAATATTGGTCAATGGTCATCGATCCTTGCTTCAAATCATTATACTCATTTTGCTTCCTTTCCCTAGCCTCCCTGGGATAGTAGTTATTCAAGAACAAAGTCTCAAACAACTGCGAGGTGATTTCCTGGCCTTCAGCCTCCAACGGTTGCACGGTGTTCGTCCACCAATCCTCGACCTCGCCTTCAAGCATGTACACTGAGTAAACCAACTTCAATGCATCAGGGCATCTCATCACCCTGAAAATCTTCTCCATAGCTTGGAGCCATTTCGCCGCAACCAACAGATCATAGCCTCCAGTGAAGGATGGAAGTTTGTGTTTCCGAAAAGCAGTCAATCGCCTTTCATCCGCGTCTGGCCCACCAACATGTTGCACATGCGGTTGATGAACCATAATATGATGACTAGAGCCATTATCATGGTGACTAGCCCCTTCTTCATTGTTACCCGCTCCACCATCTACATGGAGAGTATGTGGAGTAGGTGTGGCAGTGTGGGGAGGAGGAGTAGGTGGTCTGTTATCATGTCTAGCACTCCTCAGTGTCCTCAATTCATTCATCATCGCGGTCATAGCATTCTGCGCATCCTCATTAGTCTTCAACAACGTTTCATTAGCCTGGCGACTAATGGTCAACTCCCTTTGCACAGCTTCCAGAGTGGTCGCCACATGTGGGCAATTTGATCCACGAGCGCCATGGTTCGTGTTGTTAGTGCAAGACGATGCGAGGAAGGCAGTGTTCTCGCGCTGCGAGCGCTGGTTTCGCGAAAAAATTCAGTATTTTTTCTTCAAAAATACATAACTTGAGCTACAGTGCTCCGATTTGCGCGTTTTGAACCCACGCGTAGCTAACGAAGAAATCTATAACATATTGGAAAATGAAGACTATAGAATTAGTATAAAATTCCTTAAGTAAATAAAAAATGTAGGTGTTTAGTGTTGAATAACAATAAAATTGAGTGTTTAAGCCTTGTTGGTTTAAGGGGACTACTTGGTACACTATGGTAGCAACATATGGTCTAAATAAAATCACATTAGGTGTTCCACACATAGTTTTAAGTTATGATTATAGTTATTGGAATTGTTTTAACTACGAAATTAATTTTAAAGAGAAACGTTTATTAACGAAAAAGACAAAAGTTTATCCGTATTATAATTCAATATCTGTGATTGCAACTTCGCCTAATGCCATGCGTAATGTTAACAAACCGGTTCTAGAACGGAGTGTTACAAATGTCATGGTGCATTGAAGTAATCATGTAAATAATTATGTTGGCATATTATTTTGAAACATGATATGTAGGAGATAGCCTAAACAATAGATTGCTAGGCAAAGTGATTTATGCATGTATGAATTGTATGCATCCCTTGATATAAAATAACTTGGGTATCAAGAAATGCATGAAATAGGGTAATATGCATAAGAGATATGCTATTTGTATGGATTAGATACTTGAGCCTTTAACTGGCAAAGATTGTTTAATAAGGCGTTGACATGGTGCCTTTGATATAAAATTCATGTATTGAATCTAGATTGAAGAAAGAGGATATATTGTTTATCAGGTGATGTTAGGACGATGAGAATTATCCCTAGATATCCAAATTACAAACGAAATAATGTCAGATTTATTTTAAAATATGTGAGATACAAGAAAGTATCAAGTGGTTTTAATTGAACAAGAAATAATTAACTAATTGCAATACAAAAGAAAAGTATTATTCACGTTTTTATGTTAAGACAAACAAGTCAATTATAAAGAAAGCTTTCGCGTTTATTTAATTAAACATGTTGCGGTTAATACCTATGTTAATAAATCGATTCTAAAACGGGTGTTACAAATTATTTATTCGTTATTTATGGAATGGGATGCATTTTTGATATTTGACTTTATTTTTTTCACTTCTATGTAATTTTGAGTAAATTCCCTTCGCTGCTTGAAGAAGAACATGTCCAAGAAGCACATTTGGTTTGAGAAATGTAGAGTTGGCCCCTGCAATGTTGCTGTAGCACTTCCCAGTGGAATGAAAAGTGAAGAATTGGACATAACTGAGGAATTCGGAGTAATAGTTAGAAGAAAAGGTGATATGTTCTTGAGATTGAAGCTAACCATTCAAAGGTTTTTGCTTCATTCATAAGGCAAGATACTAAATTTTCAGATTTTTCCATTATCATCACTGATTTGGATGCACTAAAAACTTCTCTGCTCTACTACACTCATTAGAATATATCAACAGCGTTTTATTTCGCTAGACAGTTTGCAACATTTTATTTCATTCAAAGGTTATAGATAGATTCTGCTTCTTTGGTTGTTCATGTTACAAGCGTGGTTGGAGAAGCGATGGGAAGCAAGTACAGGTCTTCTTTTCTAATAACAGACGCTCCAAATACCTCAGCCATGTCCAAATCCTCACTTTTCATTCCATTGGGAAGTCTCCAATCAAAGTTATACAATAACATTGCAAGAACCAACTCAACATTTGCAACAGCAAAGTTCATGCCTGGGCATATTCTCCTTCCAGCACCAAATGGGATGTACTCAAAACTAGTTCCTTTGTAGTCAATAGGATTATCACTAAACCTCTCAGGATAAAAGTTCTCTGGTTCAGTCCAATAATTTGGATCTCTTCCAATTGCCCAAGCATTCACTATGACCCTACTTTTGACAGGTATGTGATACCCTTTAATCTCACAAGCTTGTCCACATTCCCTGGGAATCAAAAGTGGACCTGGAGGGTGTAATCTCAGAACCTCTTTGATGACTGCTTTCAAGTATTTGAGCTCTTCAATACAACTTTCGTCAACCCTTCCTCTCCTTTCAAATATCTCTCTCACTTCAGATTGTGCTTTCTTCAAGACTCTTTGATCCTTTATCATCTCAGCCATTGCCCAGTTAATGGTAGTTGCAGCAGTGTCACTTCCACCTGTGAAGATATCCTGAAAGGTAATAATCATATCAAGTTAAATTGGTTCAAACTTCAAAGATATCCAGTACATCAAAATGCTGCTCAATTTCCTGAAATTAACCATCATATGTTAGATTATTAATTAGGACTAAATAAGTTTAATTTAATCTTTTTATCTAATTTTCACACCAGGAAACTTAATTAATTATTCACATGCACGCATATGATTTTTCAAGCCACATTGACATGCTTACAAAGATTATAGCCTTGATATTTTCATTAGTTAAGAGAAAATCCCTGTCACTGCTCCTATCCTCAAATTTCAAGAGAACATCAATGAGATCTTCCTCCTCTGCTTCAACTAGACCTTCTTTAGTTCTTGACTTTGCCTCTCTGTGGTCATTGATGATATTCTCTAATATCCTGTCTACTTTTTGGTGTAACTTCTCAAGCAAAGGCCTCATCCCAGAGAGGTTTTGAAGCCATTTAGCTGAAGGAAACAAGTCTCCAATGTAGAAACCACCAGCTAGCTTTAAAACCTCTCTTACCACTGATATGAACTCTTCTTGCTCCATGTATTTCTTTCCAAATGCAGCCCTTGAAGTTATTGTATACAACAGTGATATAACTGCTTGAGTAAGATTGATGACTGATCCTTCTTCTGAACCAATCCGTTTGATGAGATTAGTAATCTCTTCCTCTCTGATTGGCCAATGAGATTGGACACGTTTTATACTTAAAAGCTCCATGGTACAAATCTTTCGAAGCTGCCTCCAGTAATCACCATAAGGTGAAAATGCTATATCTGTGGAATTATAGAACACTATCTGTGAAGTTAGAGAAGGAGGCCTTGATGCAAAGATAACATCATGGGTTTTCATGACCTCCCTAGCATACTCTGGTGAGGAAACAACAATGAAGAAGACCTCACCCAGTTGAAGATGCATCAAGGGTCCAAACTTTTCCGCCAATTCTCTTAATTTTCTGTGTGGTGCAGACCCAACAAGATGGGGTATATTTCCTACGATAGGTAGCTTCCATGGCCCTGGTGGTATATTTTGAATTGAGTCATTTTTCTTGAGGTTCCTCCTTAGTTTTTGTGTCACAATGATGTAGAGGATAATGGAAAAAAGGGCCAAAGGGTAAATTGTTTCAAGACCCATGTGGATAAAGCTGAGAAGTAAGGCAGAACAAATGTTTTTGTAGTTTGGTGAAGAACACCAATTTTATGTATGTATATATAGACATTGTGGAGCTTTGAAATAAGTGTGTCCTTGTTACAAAGGCTGGTGTTGTCTTCTTGTGATTGGAAGAGTAGAGTTTCAACTCATGCAATTAGCAAGTGGAACAATAGCACCAAGCTGCATTTACGAGAGTAGTATATCAATGCAATGAAAACATGAACATATACACAATAAGGGAACGTACATCTATAAGTTTGAAAATCTACATGAGAAGTACTTGTGTTTAGAGTAATATTCTCAATGATATGAGTCTTAATTAAAATTTATTGTAACACTATAAATTTAATCTAACAGCTATAATGCTTTTAAGTTTTATTTTTTTGTCAATGAAGCTATCATGCTTACTAGTTTATTATTGACTTTTAGGGGATGTTTGGTACGCGGAATTTTGATGGATTCCCGGGAAACTGAATTTTTTTAAATTTTAAATTTTCAGATATTATCGTAAACTGAATGCAAAAATTATATTTTTGAAAATTGAGATTCTCGGACAAATAAAAATTTCTCCTGTACCAAACGCTAACTGTTTTTGGCAAATGTGCAGATATATTTATTTTCTTTTACAAAAAAATGTAGTGATTCCATTTGTCGATACAAACAATAATATTTTAAAAAAAAAAAAAATGGTGATTTTTGTTCTTCGGTGAATCAGGATAGTCCAAATGTACTGCTATGATTGATTGTTGATTTATGTATCAGTTTAAGGATTTTGATATAGAGAAGGAGTACTTTCGTAAGAGATAATTATCAATGTTAATGGTATATTTTCTCCATGGGTAAGAGAAATATGTGATTTGGGTATATGATGTTAAATCTCTGGGTATACATGTAAGGGTATATAGTTATTGTTAATGCAATGACTATGATGAATTCGGGTAATAAGGAACATATCGAAATTGGAGGTGTTGTGCCGTGAAATGGTGTTAAAACCAGCTTTCCCGGCTAAGTAGGTGGAGAAAGAATTCGAATTCCATTCTTATCAAATACATATTAAGAAAGAACGAGGAATTTTAACTGTAATTAAACCCTAAATCGGGATTAGTCCTATAGTTGACTCCGAAGAGATAAAATTTGTAAGGATATTCAAGAAACCGACTCACTTCAAATAGATAATTAGGTGTTGGTATGAAAAAAAAAAAAAAAAACGTTGTTGTGCATTTAATATTTGAATAACGCTTGAGTTACTAATTTATCTTGTATCAATAAATGACAAACTAGTTGAGGAGCAACTCTTCTCCAAAATAAGAGGTATAAAATTATCTACATAATATTACTTGATGTTATTATTCTTCTGGATGTAATGTTTGTTTGTAATGTATGACCTATATCTTCATCCTATGCTTTTAAAAGTATGAGACAAGCTTTGTACCCAAAAAAAAAAAAAGTATGAGACAAACTGCCGTTATTTGTAAGGTTTTGGAAGAAAGTGAAAGAAAACAACTTTGATAAACCAAACTGAAAAATATTCAGTTGGGGATGAAACCAACGCTATTCTTCTTCTGACACATTGAGACAAGTCGCTATACTCCAAAATAAGACCACTAGAATTATCTGAATATTATTTCCTAGGGTAATTATTCTTCTTTTGTCCGCAATCTTTGTTTGAAGTCTCCGCAATCTTTGTTTGAAGTCTATGACCTATATCCTATGCTTTTAGAAGTAAAGGACATAGTGCATTATTGTACATCTTTCACAGTCGGGTTTTAGTTTCGAAAATATGTACTAAGAACCAACACACACACAAAAACACTAGCATTGGTATAGACTACGAGAGATTTAGGTACTTTATATTAAGTTATGTATTTAATTCCTCAAAAACTTCACGCGATTATGCATGTGGGAAAGAGTAACTCATATTACACGTGTCAACAAAAAATTTTCTTCCTTCCTTTGCTTGAAATGTTATGTAATTCGTGACTTTTAAAAAAAAAAAAAAACTTCCCTCTATATGTAGGGGAATATTACTCTCATATTATAACAGAAAAATAACCTCATACATTCACAAATTAGAAAAGAGAGAGCAGAGAGAATAGAGAAAAGAAAAAAATATATAAAATGAGCTCCACTTTTAATTTATAAATTTATAAATGTATGAGAGAATTTTTCTCTCATATAACATGAGAGAATTAGGGGTGATAAACGAACCATGGTCCTTTAGCTCGGCTCGTCAAGGTCTGAGCTTACATGCTTAAAATTAATGGTTGGAACCAGACTTAGACTTGTATAAAAGCTCGTTTAATAAAAAGACATCAGACTTCAATTCAAAAGCTCGGCCTTAGAGCCTCTCAGGCTGGCCTAGTATATTAATTTTTATTTTTATTTTATATTTTTATATAAGTTGTAATAGTCATTTCTCTCTCCTCAATCCATTTCACCCCATTTTATTGGTTAAATAGACTTTTTGAATGATTTTGTTCTATATTATGATGTTTGGATATACATTGAATTTATGTATATTTATGGAATTACTAGTATTGTTGATTGTATATTTTATTTGATAAAATTTTGTTATCTTATTTTTTTTAAACAGGCTAAATCAGACTTTTATTTTTTTGTAATAAGCCAAGTCACGGGTCGATAATTATATTCATAACAGATAACAGGCTTGGTCAGGCTGAAACATTTAAACACAGACTTAGCATAATATTTAGGCTAAATTACAATTTAGCACCTTATACTTAGAGCTCTATCCAAAAAGCCACCTTCTACTTTTAATTAAATCAATTGACCATCTTAAACTATGCAATTAAAATAATTAAGCATATCCGTTACTGAGACAATCAACTCCGTTAAGGCCATGTGATTCACCAAATATTTTCTTACTTTTTCAAAAATTAAAAACTGAAAATCTTGCTTCGTTCTTTTTTGATAAATAAAAAAATTGTTCCGTATCAATCTTTTCGTTAGTTTCTTCTTGTTCGTTGGATGCTTAATATCTAATCGTCTTTCTTAATAAGAGATTTATTTTTCTTCGGAAACAAATTCACATTCTCTTCTTCTTTTTCCCTCCTTGACTCTGAATATTGAAGCAGTGGAAGAACCCAGTGGCTTATGCTGGAGTGTGCAGAGGCATTAGACTCTAGTTCGGATTTGGCAAAGATCGGATTCATTTGAAGTTAAGTTGTGCCAAAAGAAAATATTATTAAGCGTAAGAGTTTGTATCCTTCATTCTGTTTAGTTTTTCCTTTTGGGATATATGTTTAGCTTATGCTCTTTTCTCTCTCTTTTTTGTAGGAAGAAATCATGGAATGATGGTTCACCACCTCAAAAGCTGGTGCTGAGACTCCATCTGAAAAAGTTCTGATAAAAAAATTTAAAAAAGAAAAATCTGAAGATGTTACTAAACCATCATCATGATTTTATGAATGTCAATAATGGCATTCTTATTTAACGAATTGTTTTATCTTATGAAATAGAAGTAATGCCAATTCATTACGATCAATACCTCTACTTTGCCTTCAACTGCCAATTGTACTTCAAGTATATTATCTTGCCAAATCATCGAATGATGTATTGTCATATTCAATAATAAGTTGAATTATAGAGAAATTACATTATTTTTTCATGATTGATATTTTTTTTCCCCCAAATCCGAACTAGAGTCTCATGCCTCTGCACACTTCAACATAAGCCATTAGATTTTTCCACTGCTTGAATATTCAGAGTCAAGGAGGGAAAAAGAAGAAGAGAATGTGAATTTGTTTCAGAAGAAAAATAAATCTCTTAAGAAAGACGATTGGATATTGAGCATCCAACGAATAAGAAAAAACTAACGAAAAGATTGATACAGAACAGTTGTTTTATTTATGAAAAAGAAGGAAAATTTTTTTTCAATTTTTAATTTTTAATTTTTAAAAAAGTAAGAAAATATTTATTGAATCACGTGGACTTTAACGGAGTTGATTGTCTCACTAACAGATATGTTTAATTATTTTAATTGCATAGTTTAAGGTGGTTAATTGATTCAATTAAAAGTAGAAGGTACCTTTTTGGATAGACCTCTAAGTACAAGGTGCTAAATTGTAATTTAGCCTAATATTTATAGGTTATTATAGCTAAAAATTAACTCCTCATTCAAATTAAAAAAAAATAAAGAAAAAGTATCCCTTGTTTTTCTCATTCCGTGGATTTTGTTTCTCTCTATTTATTTATTTTTTTACTTTTTTTTCTATAAATAAAAGTGCGATAGAATTATTGTTTCATTTGATTAAGAAACTGGTTTCTCTTACAGTTCCTAGGTTTTCCGCCCGAACGACCCTAGCGTACAGAAAAGAAAGAAGTAGTCCTATTCGAAAACGAAATTTCAGTCCTAGTAGGTGCGATATTGAAGGCCTTCACGGGCTTACTTAGTGCTTGCACTAAGGAGTTCAGGGCTAAGGGCTGGAGCGTAGGAAGCATTGGCTATCAGAACCCCCGGAGGGAACTAACTCCTTTCTTGCAAAGCAGCTTCATGAGAAAGAAGTGCAGCAATCTTTGGATAAGTTTTTTTTTCCTCTAAAAGAAGTTGCTTTTCCCAAAAAAAAAAAAATCATTTTGGGACATTTTATGCGTTTGTATACAAACTTAAAAAAAAGGTTAAAATAGTGCTTTTTTTAGAGGCAAAAGTGAAATGATTTTTAAAAATTCAATTTTTCCCAACTTCACTCCAGCTACTCCACCGCACTACCATCGCTCACATTTTCTTTTTAGTAATTTTATGGATTTAATTTTCTGCTTTTGTCGCAAAAAAATAATTCTATGTCACACTCACGTCAAAATGAACTAGTCTCATTAATTTTTTATCTTTTTTTTTTAACAATGGGACCCACTCATTTTTATGTGAGTGGGATAGAGAATTTTTTCTACAGTAAAAATAGAAACACTTTTTTTTTCTAATTTTATAAATAAAAAGTGCTTATCAAATTTAACATCCAAATAAC